GGGGGACCCGAAACGGTCTCTGTACCGACAGCTGTCCATTCTCTCGGGATCCTGCTTATTAGTAAATATATCGTTTACACAAATGGAATTTTTACTCGAATTTCTAATGGTAAATAAACTGAGTATTTCTTCATTATCCCGGAGAATGACTCCCTAATAATAGTATATTTATAAAAGTATATAAAATACCGCTGTAACATTTTTAGATGCAAACACCTTTCAATATACTGAAGCATCACCACAGTTAATGTTCTCTAAGAAACCTGATATTTGTTCTATTCACGAAAGTTTTACTATATAAAATCAATCAAAGTTTGTGACAACTTCAAACTTTCATATTGAAGTTCATTCTCAACAGACCTATCGTTTATAATCTGTGGCAATATAATTCTTAAAATATGTACAGATGAAATGACTTAACATTGAAATCAATTATTATGACGAGGCTTTACACTTTTTCATGCGTAATCCGATTCTGAATAAAAACTAAAATTTAAAAAACTTTGGAGTTGCCTCAGATTTTAAACTCTTAGTTTCTCTTTAGATCTTTACTCAAATTCATAATCTATTTGTTATATAAGCTTCATTTATCGTTATTTAAGCCTCTTCTAGTTATATATAAGCTTATACATAAGGAAAGTATTAACTAGAAAATGTTTTCTCTGATGTAGACTTATACAGTATTTACATTAGAAGTTGGCAAGACAAGTGTTGGTTATTATCGAAGATGAAGACATTTTAAAAAGTTTCTAAATTACAACATGGTTCCGTTTATTAATAACTCCTTTTATTTTTTATTTATTTTAATAGTGTATCGTCTCCAAAGTATTCGTAGCCTATTCCACATGACATGCAGTGTTAATGCTTATTTGATATTTCAATATACTAATTATTAAAATCGTATTCCATTCCTCTATAGATAAAATACATTTGTAATTAACTAAATAAAATTAATTTTATAACAAATTTATGTGAGCCGTATTATTATTATGATTACTGTATTTAAAATTTTATATTACAGTATTTAATATATTATTTTAAGTTGATTTATTTTTAGATTTTTTTCGCTATTATACAGTTTTAAAATTTCGATTATATTTTTAGTTTTAGATACGAAAATTAAAATATATTTTAGTGAAGTGGTTCAACCTGACCTCATATCACATGATTATTTGAAACACTTCATTTATGTTGAAAAATTTTAATAATTCAATTGATTTTATAACCAAATATGAATATATTTGATAAAAGTTTAAGTGATTTCAAACATTTAATTCGAATTTAATATTTATTCTAAATTTTTTATTCATTTATAATTAATTTATATTCAAAAAACTTTTTATTTGTTTAAAATAACAAATAAATAAATTATTATTAATCATTTCTTAATAATTTTATTAGTATTATTTTGATTCAAAGGTTATTGTTTAAAGTATTTTCAAAATATTTATATGTTATTTATTAATTTCTTAGTTTTTAATTTAAAATATCCACAAACATACAAAAAGTAACATTGTAATATGAATAGTTATAATTCATTTCACTAGTTATTAATAATGCAAGAATAATTTCATTTTTATAAACTTACCGTAAAATGTTTGATATTTTTCTCTAGACCTATTAAATAAAATTTACTAAATATGGATACTTTTATTAAATATTTAAATAGCAGAGAGATAGATTTTGTTATACGTAAAAGATAAAATATTCATACGATTTTCTTAAAACAATAAGGATGAATATTCCAATAAGTTGCATGTTTTAATCAACTTCATTCTGTTCTATTTTGAAAAATATGAAAATTTATTAAAAAAGTATTAAATATTAACGATTGTTTTAACTTGTTTCATCGATCACCAGTATCTATAATAAATCTCATAATAATTTCTAAATTTTATTACCTATGTATTCTACCCTAATAATAAAAATATTGATAACTTCTAAATTTATTTAAGAAAAAAAAAAAAACTAGTTAAAATTCTACATTAGCGTCAATACGGAGAAATCTGTATTGACGGTGATATATGAAAAAGCAGAGGTCAATGACTATTACGAAGAAAGCTTCATACTAGTCGTTAACCTCTATCTTTAAAATGTTAATGTAATTTTTTAAAGTTTACTAAGTTCTGTTCTAATCAACTTACATTGCAAACAACCCAATTTTTCTCTAATTGGATGCGATGAAATTTCTTTCAATTCTGGTGTGCCTCAGCAGTATAGCTATAGTCTAATTTTGAGATCCCTACAAAAATTTTCGGAAACCTTACCAATCTAAGAAGAATGAAATCTCATTTACATTGCACGAAAACTATTTGATGTAAACATTTAATTAGCATGGAACCTCAGACCTCAAGACATCCGCATTATGAATATTTTAATTTTATTTTTCACTCTTTCTGTCCCAAAGGCACTAAGAGGCCCTTATTAACCATACTCATCATGGTTGATTTAAGTGTGGCCCATAATGGTGCCAACAGGTGGGCATTGTAGGGTTTTAAGGAACCTCGCTACGCCATTGATTTGCATGTGCATTTCATATTACGATAGAAATAAATAAAATTAAAATTGTTTATCTAGATATAATTTTAGACATAAAATTTAAATAACTTATTTTTTAAACAAATTATACCATAAAATAATTTTCAATTGTTAATGATAAGTTTTAAAATTAAAACAGATACATTTGTCGCTATCTTTTCCAAGATTAGCTGAGATCTTATAAACCCATCATTATCTATACTCCTTTTTTAGAACATTATTCTGTTTTTTCTACGTAATAGCGTTAGATGTAAAATTTAGTTAAAATCAATCAAAACATTTAATGTCAATGACTATTTAAGGGAAATGGATTTTAAAAAAAAGATATCTCCCCCCNGTCTTTTCTGTTAGTATTCATGTCAACAAGGCATTTTGCTTTTTTCACGTGTCCTTCGTAACTTGGCTAGTGCTATAAACGTCAATCTTCGGAAGATAGGAAAGACTAAGTCTAGTTTCCAGAACATTTCGTCAAAATGAATGATGAGAAATCCTGTTTAGCGATTTTCCTGTCTGGACAATTGTAAATCATCAAGTTTTTCTTTTTAGAAGTTACTCTTAACTCGGTTCCGTACATTCTTTGTTAGTAATGGATACTGTAATCAGATATGCTGTAGAGTTTTATACTCCTTTAATGAAGTTAGATGTAACTTGGATTGTATATTATTTGAAATCGGAGGGGAAAAAAAATCTATTTTGGAAAATTCTATTATTTTTAATATCTTATTTTCTTGACACACGAACTTTTCAACTCGACCGCTTTATTCTCTGTTAGATTTCAAAGATGTTTTCCCTTCAGAAATTCGGGCTTGAACATTGTATAGTATATTCTTTTTTTTGAGGATCTTTCTATGTATTCCTGTGTGTATTCTTTCCACCATGATAAACCACTTTGGCAGAAAGAACGCTTCGAGCGCTATTTTTATCCTATTGTCTCATAATCTAACATCCATTGGCACGTTTTTAGTAAAACTAAAGATTCAAAATTGTAGAATTATAAATAAGAAAATTTTACAATTTTTCTAAACAAATTCTTTTTTTATTAAAATTTAATTTAAAAAGATCTATTCATTAATTTTTATACATAAATATTTAAATGCTCGTTAAATAATATTTTTTTTTTAAATTAATTATTTTGATTTTTTAAATTCTTAAATGCGGAGAATTATTTTAATATTTTACTGCGTGTTTGTTTCTAATTTAAGACCGTATTAATTCGCTTATTTTTGTCGTATTTTCGTTTTTTTTAAGATTCTTTAAGTAGACACTAATGAGACACTTACACATTTAGTCTTTATGTTGAGCCGAAACTTCCCAAAAGATTAATATTTCTTAATTATTTAGCTTGCTCTTCTAACAATAAAATAAATAACATATCCAATTTTTTTCTTCTGAATTTTATTTTATTTTTTAAAAAGTGTTTATCATTTTTTACATTTGAATCTCTGTCTAACATGCATAAGTTATGTATAGGTCGAGAGACGTCAATTTTGTATCTCTTTATCTATATTTTAATATAATATTTTATATTTTAAACGTTTTTTTTTTTATTTTATTTTTGCAAAATTGATAGGCTTAAAATATAATTTAAGCTTCGAGAGATATAAAATAGTGTCGCTTTTGATCCAAATTCCTTCAATCTCGCTTGATGTAAGATGGTGTCATTTTATGAAACATATTAGATTTTAATGCGTAATGTGAAGAAAATTTTGGCATTTCACATATCACATAAATTTTACATAAAATTCAAATAATTTAAACTTAAAAAGTGTATTTTTAGTTCATTCTAAAATAATAAAAAGAGGAATTTTTTAAAGTCAAAACATAATACTTTAATTCTAAGAACATTAGTATCAGGCAATATGTTAGATCAATAAACATTACATCTCACATGTTTGCCATCAGATAAAAATGATGAACCCGAGAGACTTTGCCTACAAAAAAAATTTTTTTTTCAAATGAAACGATATCTAATTTCAGGTAAGATAATAACATTTTATGTTTTTTTTTTTAAACTATAAAACTCCGAGATAAGAACAAAAACATCTTCCATCCGCATCTATTACGGGGATTTCCCGGAAGAATTAGCGTAGCCTAATATTTATAAAATCAACGAGAAAAATTTAGATTATTTTTTGTGCCGGAAAGGGAGATTTTTAACAGGCAATACGATTACTGTCGACGTGTCTCGAATACAATTTTCGCTTCCTTCTGTCGATAACGCGCAAGACAGGAAGTTGGTTTCAGATATTTAATATTAAATTATGTATTTTACGATATTTCACGTGGATAAATACGATAAAATTTATTGTTTATTTTCACTCCGTCGATTCTTCGGGGAAAAAATCCGTTTTATCCGCTAACATTCGAATATTTTTGTTTTTTCTCGGGATCCTCATCTCGTAGAAGAAACTAACCAAATGCGTAATTTTTTTTTTAACTTATCTTCGGCCGATACGACATTTAATTAATTAATCAGTGTTATTTCGGTGGTGCAATTCTATCCGCGGATTCGATCTATTTTCTGTCAACCCACCCTTCCGTGCCGAGCGTTGCTGGCGGCGTCGTCGGCAGACGATCGATATTTCGAAGGACCCGGGAGAAGGGGACAGTAGCGCCTCTCGGTGGTGACGGTCGGTAGAGAAGCAAGATGGAGGAGGTCGCAGCATCCGGCGGAGAAGCGGACAAGTTCGATTACGCGTCAACGGACTCCGAAGGAAACCTCAGGATCAAGATCATCTGCCTGGGAGACAGCGCCGTCGGAAAGTCTAAGTGAGTAGTTCTAGCCGACGACCTCCGCGCTTCTAACGGAACCGGAGTTGCGGAACGATCGCTGTCGTTTCGATCGGCTTCCTTTCGAGATTCTACCCGAATCTCCCGTTCGGAGACGATGCAATGAATCGGTTCTTATTTCTACGGCATTCGGTGCGGTCATACTCAATTTACAGTAATGTTTTCGAAAAATTAGTTTCGAGGAGATTAATTAAAAAATTAACGGTATAATGCAGTATCTCCAAAGCGTATGTAGTATGTTTTTACTATTTTATCTTGTAAATCAAGCATGTATGTTGATTTATCACAGAATTTATCTTGTGGTTGAATAATTGTTATGTTGGTAAAATTAATCTATAATAACCAATAGGGATGAAAATGTTTATAATTGGATTTCAGAATGTCATGTTTATTAATTTAGAATAGTATTGAAAGTCTTAATGTGTAATAGAAAATAAATATTCGCGAAAAATGTGATGGTTACATAACATTATTAGTATGATTATTACATACAAAATATGATGATACAGATATTATATAAGTTTACATAAAAATTTTGTATTAGAGTTAACATGTTAGTGGGAAAGCATTGATAACATTACAAAAACTGTATGATATTTCTGAAATTAATGGATTTCTAATAGTACTTAAAATGGTAAGATTCAAGCTCTAAATGAGGAGTTTTGCACCTCCGAGAATTGTACCCTATATGAGCAAACGAGTCAAAGGAACCATACCTGTACGTCTGACTCTTTCTGAGACATTCCCCTCCAAAGGTCCGTTTTTAACACGTATCGGTATACTGCATATTCTGTTAATGTTTTTATACAATCAACAATATAACAGTTGGAAAATGCACAAAATATATTTTGGAATATATCACTGTAAGATTATGGAAATTATTAATTTTTTTATCATTGACAGAATTGATATTCTTTACCTTTTTTTTAATCATTT